TGAGCTCTTCTCTGGAACTTTTTCATTTAAGCCTGCCATATGTGGAACTTAGGTACGTCAACATACAGGAGTATTTGAGCAAACTCATCTTCCTGTGAAAGCTTAAAGAATGTAGTGAGAGTCGTATCAGCAGGATCTGCCATTTGATTTTGTAGAGACTCTTCTGTGAAGTATACGCTTAGTCCATTTTCCAGGTGAATAGCCAGATGAACTACTGTTGGACATCGTTCGTGTATGGAAAAATAAAAATTCTCCTTAGGGCTTCATTGCTGCATATATAACGGCCCTGCTGAAACTGTGTCACCTCATCCTGATTTCCATCCGTTTCCAATGCAAAGATCGCTTGGTCAGAGCCTTTGTTGACGTATCTGCAAACATACTTGATGGACTTGACCTAATTACAGAAATCCACATTGATGTGCGCATTGAATGCTTTACTCAAAAGAGGATTGTAGGGGACCACCCATATAACATATAACAACATCCATCATCACTACATATAACAACATCCATCATATATAGAATGGATATAAATTCACTAGAGTCGGTGCAGCGAAGAATGACAAAAATGATTCCGGGACTTAGAAACCTTCCATATCAGGACAAACCACATATCAGATGAACCACTTTGTTCTAGAGAAATCCGACTGTGAAAAAGATTTAGGAGTAATGATGAGTCTTAAACTAGACAACAATATGTATTTCCTGGAAACAAGGCTAACAATGTACTTGGGTTCATACAAAGGAGTGTTAGTTACAAGACTAGCAAAGTTATCCTAAAACTGTATCGTGAGCTTGAGACTTCACTTAGATTACGTGGTTCAGTTCTGGTCACCATACTGCAAAATGGATATTGAATCCCTAAAAAGAATTCAGAGGAGAATGACAAGACTAATTCCGTGCGTTAGGAACCTTGAGTACAGAGCATCTTAATATGCCCTCCCTCAAAAGACGTAGAATGAGGGGCGATGTGATAGAGGTGTATAAACTGAAGTCAGGATTAAACAAAGGTGATATAACAAAGGTTGGATATCACAATCCAACCAGGAGCAAACTCGTAGCAATGGTTTTAAGTTAAACTAATTTAAATCTAGGCACGAGATACATAAACATTGGTTTGGAAGTAGAGTAGTGGATGAGTGGAACAAGTTACAAAACATCATAATTAACTCGAATACGCTGGACAGCTTCAAATAAATGTTGGAGGGATATATGAGAAATAGGGGCTGTGTGTAAACGGGGCTGCGCAGTACGGGCCAATAAGCCCACTGCAGTTTCCTCCATTCTTATGTTCTCATGTTGCATCCAGCCTGGTTAGAAATTGGTGGTCTGTTCCCTAGGGTGCTTAATTCTGGGTGTGGACCTCAATGGTGGGTCACGGCTCTAGCTGGGACTGTCTAATAAGAACATTAGATAATAAGGAGTCTGCAATAGGCCGGTTGGCCTGTGCATGACAGCTCCTGTCGCGAGTTATTACCACTCTCTATCATCCATGAATCTATATAGCCTCCTTTTAAAACTTTACAGCGTTCCAGCACTTACTACAAAGATGTAAAGCTTGTTCCACTCGTCTACCACCCTATTTGCGAACCAGTTCCTTCCTATCTCCCTCCTAAACCTGAACTTATCCAACTTAAATCCGTTGCTACAAGTCCTATCCTGCTCGGATATTATAAGAACTTCATCTATATCTCCTTTGTTGATTCCTTTCACCCACTTAAATACTTCTCTCATATCTCCCTGCACTCATCGTCTTTCCAGGGAATGCAAGTTTAGTTTCCTTAATCTATCTTGATATGGAAGG